AAACCTTCAGGTGTGTGATCCGTGAATCAAGAAGGACCCTCGTGTTTGCTTAGTATTTCACAAACATTATCTGCTTTCATTCTCCAGTTTCTTTTTATTTAAGCAGTAAGTAGTATCTTTGACATCTCTTTCCTCTTTTCTCTGGTTTCCATTTTGGGCTGCTGTTAATAAAATTTTCTTTGTAGGATTCACCTCTGCTCCTCCCTTAAATAAGGCTCTCCCCAGAATGCTGCACACTCTCTGGGTGGCCTTCTTGTGTCCTGAGGATGGTCATCTTCCTGTCTTGTCACAGCCAACTTCTTCCCCGTGGATCTCCTGAGATGGGGCCTTGGAAAACTTGAACTTTCCAAGTCTAAACTCTCCAGAAGTGGGGGGAAAGGTGACTACTTCTGTCTTCTAGAGTGGGATCCTTTCAGATGGAAATCCAGGAACCTAAATTCAACTTTTTAGGATAGTAAAATGACTTTGAGTAGCTTCAAGTTTATTGGTAGTGTACGTACCCCCAAAAGCCTCATGCACTCATAGATGGGGATTTTGAGAGGCAGCTGGATCGTAGATGCATGGTACTGGATTACAGGTGTGATACCTAAGTTGTTCCACCAACTGGTTTAGCATAGTTTTAGGGATAGATTATGTAAAGCCCACCCTCGGTGTGAGTAGCACACCCAAGAGGCCTGTAGTTTGGATGGAATAAAAAGGGTAATTAGACAGAAGAAAGGCTGCTATTTGCCACCATGCCATGGACTGTTCGTCCTCTGCCCTGCCCCTCTGCCATGCCATCCTGCCTGGGAGCCTGTCAACTACAAACTGTGAGCTAAAATGAACCTTTCCTCCTCTAACTTGTGGGCAACAGGTATTTTGTTCCAGCAATGAGAAAGTAAATGGCACCCCATCTTAGTGCTGTGAGCACCCTGCAGAAACTTTATTTTTTTCAACCAATTCATGTACGGAGGGATTGATTTCCAAATCAAGATCCTTAGAACCCAGGATCAGAAGCCTTGGGTTTGTTTTGGAACAGCTCTGTGCTACTTTCTGGAGTCTGCCTTGTGGGGTGCTAAAGAAATTCAGATCCTAATAAATCGGGTTCCTTTTAGCAAAGAACCAGAGCTCAAACTTATAAAACTTTTCTCCCCTACTTTTCTTCTCTTTTTTTTTCTTCTTAGTCCACAGTGATGCTCTTCGGACATCTGCAGAGCTGTATGGTCATTGCTGTGAGGCAGCACATTTGAGCGAGAGCTGTCAGCCCTGGGTTTACCCCCCTCCACTCCCCTTCCCCCAATCTTGGTATCTAAGCATGTTATGTTTCATGTACTTTGTCCATGTGGTTTAAATGGTGGCTTACAATTTTTAAAGGAGGCTCTCCTTCCCTTCCAACAAACACATTCATGAAGGACAGATAAATATGGAATGGGACCCCACTGCCACACGGGAGGCAGGCTACTTCCCCTCCTTGTTTCCTTGTGGGAAACTTCACTCGTGCTGGTTCTCAGCCCTGGCTTTCTATACGAATCACCTGGGAAGCTTTCCCAGCCTTCAAACCCAGGCTGCCCTCAAACCAAACCAATTTAATCTGTCTAGGCATGTGACCCAAGCAGGAATGGTTTTCCATGCACTGGTCTCCAGTGGGCCCCTGTGGCCAGGGACAGGTGGCTCCTGCTCACGCTCATCATATCAGATCAAGGCTAGGAACAGGAGTCCGAGCATGTGCACGCCGAGAGGCAGCCCTGCCGCCCTCTTCTGGGTGGAGTCTACCATTGTTTCACTCAGCTGAAGGATTTGCAAGCCTGCCTGACCTGGCGGAATCCCCATTTCTTACACAGGTTAAGGCAAGGAAGAAAGTAGGACAGAACCTGTTTTCATACCTCAGCTGATTCCAAACTGAGGCAGAAACTAGAAAACATAGCTTCTGAGCCTTTGGCTTTGCACAGGGGCTTCTCAACACCACTTCCTCTTGCCTCACCCTGCAGAGAGTCCCAGGGATGGTCCTAGGCGGCTTCAGAGCTCTATCTGAGAGTCCCTTGGAGGTCAGAGAAGAGATGCAAAGAGAATTTTGGAGCTGGATCGTAGTCCTGCTCTCCTGCTCACAGGCTGGAGTACTCTACTCACTCTCTTTGTGCCCCACTTTCCTTCTCCATAAAATGGGGATGACAAAAACACACCGTTTCATAGGGTTATGGCGAGGAATGTGTATTCCTGTAACTATGAAGCCTTTAGAGTGTGCCAGGCACACTCAGCTGAGTGTGTAACAAACTGAAATGGTCCTCTGCCAAGATCCAAAGCCTACGTATGGAAATGCCAATCAAAATCATCATGGGTGTTGGGTGTTGTTTCTCAGCAATAGGAAAACTGATTACTAGAGAAAATTCACATCATGTGACTGACTGTACATGAGCATGTGATTGAGAAGCCTTTGTAACTAGTTTATAGCAGGTATTTGGGAAAGGCTGGAAAAAGCCAAGGTGTGACAGTAGCCCATACCTGTAATTCGAACACTCAGGAGGCTGAGGCAGGAGGATTGCTAAGAGATCAAGGCCAGTCTGTGCTACATAGTGAGTTCAAGGCCAGCCTGGAGTACATAGCAATAGCCTCTCTCAAAGAAAAAAAAAAATGCTAGAAAAGCCCTAGAATGCTATGGCAGAGCTTGCTAAGTGAACTTGCTGAGTGATTCTGGTAAGAGTTCAGAGGACCAAAATGCTGATAGGAATCATACAGTAAAGGTTTCAGTAAAGAACAAGGACTTCATTAGCCATGGACTAGGGATGATGTGTGTTACACTGTTGCAAAAAATTTGTTTTGTGTGCTGGAGACTGAGATTAAGCATGGTGAATTAATCTTGCGGAGGAAATTCAAAGAAAGCCCAACACCCAGACTGTGCTATGGATACTGTTGGATGCTTTCAATCAGGTATATAGTGACAATTAGAGGCAAGACCCTGCCCATTGTGAGTTCAAGGGGCAACAGTGTAAACCTTTCATTTGAGAAGAGAGTCTATGGCTCTTGCTTTAAAATGGCCTAGGGAATTGGCTCCACAGGACCCGTTTCATAATGGTCAGCCAGCCAAGCACTGAGAGGCCACTGAAGCTGTGTTTCAAGGTGGTCTGGCTACTGTTCTAGCAGACGAGAGATCATGGCACTATCCATCTATTGCTGGTTTTACCCCGATTCAAAATATAAGAGTTGTAGGGTCAGGGAGATTTTTGTCCCCATATCAAGGGAATTCTGGGAGACCAGGCAAGGAGTCGCTGAGAGAGCAATGTGAAGCTGTGGCAATGAAGCTAAGGTGAAGTGCAGACTCCAGGGAGTTAGAGATGCCAAGGATGCAAATCGCCTGCTAAGGAAAGCTGCAGGCCATGAGCGGATCTAGCTCAAAGAGAGGCCATATGGCCACATGGTTGGTTGGAGTCATGAAAGCCCTTTGTAACTTACATTTCACTGCCTTGTACCTGGATGCTGGATACAAAGCTACAAGACTTAATGTTTTCCTTGCTGTACGTCAGTTTTGCTTTGGTCTCATTCTTTTCTATCCTTTATTCTTCTCTTTTGGAATAGTAATATATGCCAGGTGGCATTGTACCTTGGAAATTATGTAACTTATTTTCATTTTTACAGGGGCTTACAGTTGAGTCCCGAAAAATGGTGGAAATGTTGAGATTGTGTGGGAGGGATTATTGCAGTTTTGGTTGAACACAAGATAGTTGTTTTAGATGGAATTCTGGCTTGTGTTTATTTGGGAGTAAAATATGGTTTAAGGAAGTGTATTTTGATATCAAGTTCACAAGGGATTGGATATGATGGTGAAGTTTGGTTGTGTCAACTTCATTGGCCTGGTGACCACCCAGGGGATTGGTAGAGCACACTTTCTGGGTGTGTCTGGGTAAGTCATGGAGGTGCGGCCTTGGGTAGAATATCTGGTCCCTCATCCCTCGCTCTCTGGTACTCCTTTCCTGCTTGACTTCTTGGCAAGCATGAACTAATATTTTTGCTCCACTGTTCCCTTCTGCCGTGATATTACTGCTTTGGAGTCAGCCAACCATGAACTAGATCCCCTGAATCCATGAGCTAAATCAGACTTCTCTTTTAAGTTGTGGATACTAAGTATTTTGTTCCAGCAGTGAGCAATCTAATACACTATTTAAACACTCCATGTCACAAGGGCCCAAGTTCTCATACTTGAGTTATTAAAGAATTCAGAGCTATAGATATTAAAGCCAAACCAGCCTCTGAGGGAGCAGGACCTACCAGGCTCAGGCTCAAAACCTAGCAGTTGGGATCAGCTATTTGAGAAATTGGCTGAGAGGCAGTGCAAACACCCACTTTTAGATGCACAACTGGGAAGAAGTGGCCTGTTGCGTTGGAAAAGGAGAGAGCCCAGCCCTTAAAGAGCTGGTAGAATCTAGTGGACTCTTCTCTCCCTCTGACTTAGTCTCCAGAATTATCCTGGGTGTGACCGTCCACCTCCAGTTCTCCCAGAAGCATCCCCTTTCTTCATTCATGGCTGTGACCTTCCCTGTCTAAGACTGGATTCAACGCTCACTGTTGTTTGAAGTCATCCTCCACGTCCTCGCTGTGTAAAGTGTGTGTCACTCTTTAGAAACCGCATCTCCTGGGAGGTCATTTTCAGTGTGTGCTCAGGCCCTACCCCACATCTTCTGAATCAGAATCTGCATTTTAACAAGTTCTCCACAGGATCCATTATGCATGGAAGTCTGAGAAGCCTGTTCCAGTTTTCTCCTGGGGCCCCAAAGTGCCCTGAGCAGTGTCTAGGGACAGACCTGGAGGGCCATAAGTGCTGTTAACTCACAATTGATTTACCGGAGCGGGGACAGGAGGCTGGACACATGGCAGGCACTTTTGCATAATAGAGAAGTTGAGGACCCCTGAAGAAAGGCCATTTTGATGTGCTGCTGGAAAAGTAATGGCGGCAGGCTGGCTGTCCATCACGACTGGGAGACAGAAGCCTGTTTCCAGTGGGAAAAGAGCCTGCATTTCCTTGGCCTTACCTCGTTCAGCTTTTCAGGACTGAAAACGGAAGTCAGGACGCCTCTGACCTCTTCCCATCTTTTGTCACGCAAGAGGAGAATGCTGTTGGCTACTGGCTTGGGCTCCAGACCTGATGCCTGATGGAAAACAATGAGCAAAAGGTCAGGACACAGGGAGCCAAAGCCACCTGGGTGGCAGTGCAAGTTCACAATAGACACCTTGGTTAAAGGCCACCAGTGAGCGGAACACAGGAGATTTCTTTTGCAAGGACACAGATGCCCATGGACGATGACCTAAGAGTCATAACAGAGGCACAGGAGGAGCAGATGGTTGTGCTCTGCGGCCCGATTCTGCCCCGCGGCAGTGTGGTCGTCGCCATGGAAACAATTCAGAGGCCCCTGTATGCTGTGCAGCCACACCCCCAAGGCAGGGTCCTCTGAGGACAAACAAGACCGTCTTCCTGAAGATGGCCTGAAGACTGGCCTGAAGATGGCCCTCAGTGGGATGGAGCTTCACATCTGAACTTGCAGCAAGGGGTTCAGTGATTGGTAGGGTTGGCCCAGAGTTGATAGACTCAGGGTCCAGGTCTTTGGGATGTGGGTGGGGAGAAAAGGGAGAGGAGAAGGGAGAGACAGCCAGTGGTGTGTCCCGGAGCACATCTGGCAAGAGCACGCCTGCCACTGTTCCTGTGTTCTGTCACTCATTCATTTTTCTCAGCCAGCAGACATCTGTTGAATGCCTAACGTATGTGCTGTAGGCTGAACCGTGTCTCCCCAGAACTTCATAAAGTTATAACCCCAGAACCTCAGTTTGTGACTCTATTTGGATATAGGGCCTTGAAAAAAAGGTAATTGAAGGGAATAAAGCAATTCAGATTAACCCTAATCCAACATGGCTAGTGTTCCTCATAAGAAAAAGATAATTAGGACAGACATGCACAGACAGAAGACCGTATGAAGCGACAGAGAGAAGGAGGTCATCCAGAAGTCAAGGAGAGAGGCCACAGGTGACATCAACCCTGCACGTCCTTGTCTCAGACCTCCAGCCTCCAGAATTGTGACAGAGTGGATTTCAGCTGAGTAAGTCCCCATGTCTGTGGTACTCACGCAGCCCTAGTAAGCTCAGATGAGGTCCAGGAAGTTGGTTATAAAATCTCAAATGAAAAGACTTCGGCTTGTCTCTCAGGGGGTTAGCAGTCCAGCGCGGATGCCGAGAATAAGCTCAAAAATTAGATGTGACTGTTTTTTGAGAAAGTGAACATTATGAAGAGGAAGAGGGCATGGTGGTCACAGAGGGGGATGACACAGCAGGAAGCGTCTCTGGGGAGCCACCACACCAAGGACTCAGCACTCCCCTCAACCCTTCATCCCAGGCCATGCCATCCTTGCTAAAACCAGCTCCCCCCCCAAGTGGCTGTAATGGAGCCCACAGTGCATCAGGGTGGCCTGCAGCCCAGAGCCCCTGGGGAGGTGGAAGCAGAGAGGTTACAGGACCAAGCCCTTCTCAGAAGCACGTGTGATGATGGTTACCCTCTTTCTTCTCACTGTTTTAATTATAGTTGAAACATGAAGCCAGCCATCATAATGCAAAAGCCTTGCAGAAATTCCTATTTAGAGGAAAATTATAATTTCCTGATAAAATATGAACACTCAAAATAAGCCATAAAATATAACTGCTAAGTATCTAGAGGATTTAATTATATATTAGAACCAAGTTGCTGGGATATTTTTCTGCAGAGGAATACCTCTATATTTAGAATGAGATTCTTTAGGAGCACATGGCCACTAAATTATGGGTTCGTAGAATTTTTGGAACATAATCTGTTTGTTTAGGTTCCAGAGTCAAAGGAGGAAATCATACATTATGTGTATTTATAGAGTAGCAGAGCCCTGGCCTGGGCCACACTGCAAAGGCATTTCACTGGGGGAAAGCAGGAGGAAGGTTTATGTGGTATTGAAGAGGCAGAATGAGTTAGAGATAAGAATCAAGATTGATTGGATTTGGATCCATCGGTAACACCTGAGGACCGCTGCTATTTTAACCTTGAGCCTGAAGCACAAATCTCACCTCCTCCATATCACAACCCTCAGCTCTCTCTCCCACTCACCTGCCTTATACCCTCTCTCCCTTCCCTTCCTGCAATTCTGTGGGACTCACCCATCGTTAGGTGGCAAAGTCTGGGGGCCATGGCTATAGCCACATCTTGTTTCTAGATGCTTTATTAGGGGAAAAGCAGCAATTTGAGTTGCTGAAAGGGCACTAAATAATGCAATATATGAAATAGTCTTTCGATTTTAGACTGTTTAACTGGAAAAGAGATTGGGGAGATCAGTCAGTGGTTCTTGTTGGTACTATGCTCAATAAATATTTATGGAATGCGTATTCCAGTACATGAAAGGAGTTTAGGTTATTTTTATAATCCAGAGGGGTAGAATCGGGTTTAGCAGTAGAAGCTTGGGGGAAACTGAGTTTATCTCAAGGAGAACTGTCCTTCTGGTCAGTGAGCATCACCAGGTCCTGGCTACCACGTTTTAGTAATATTGTGTAGGAAGTGTGGGCATTTGGTCTAGGCTGCCTTCTAGAACTTTTCCAATCCAGACACTTTATCTCCAGAAGACTATACTGGATATTTTTGAAAATTAGCTTGTTTACACATAGTTTTTTAAAATGGTAGCATTTTAACATAAATAAATGTTACCATCCTAACCATTTTTTCATGTACAATTTGGTGGGTAAAGTACCTTTACTTGTATGGCCATCTCTACCATCTGTCTACAGAGCTCTTGCTATCTTGCAAAGCTGAAACTGTACCCCTGTGACTGTACCAGGCGACAAGCCCACCCTCCTCCCCAGCCCTGTCTATGCATACTCATTGAAAAAATTTATTACAGACCAGGACCAGGAATGAACTGGTACATGTGACAGAGGCAGTGTAAGTGCCAGGCTGGGTGGAGACTCAGGTCTTGGGGAAGGAAGCCCAGGGACACAGAGCTTTCTAGATTCTTGCCTTGTGGCCTAGCTGTGTGTGCTCAGCAAAGGCACTTCCAGTCTCTCCGTGGCCACACTTTCCCAAAGAGCACACCGGGCCCTGTCAGAAAATCAGTGGAGTGAGTAGCCACCAACGCTTTCCAAAGCAAAGAAAGAGAAACAAGAAATATTGTAGAACAGAATAGAAAACATACAGAAGTGCTTCATAAAGAAAGAGCCTATATTTTATTGTTGCTAAACATATTCAGGACATGTGCATGAGTGTGTGCGTGTGTCTTCTGTGTCAACATGAGAAATGTATTTCTTAAATTATGGTCAAAAAATGTCTGAAAAATCTATTGTCACTTAGACCCCAAACCTGAGAGTTATCTTCTCTCTCAACCAAAATCTGATCAGTTGCAACTCTGAAGTCTCTTTGATCAGCCCACTCTCTCTGTCCTGTGGCCACCCCCGTGGCAGAGGTCACCACTGTCTCAGCCCCCAGCTGGTCTCTTGGCCTTCAGCTTTGTTACACCGGTCCACGCTCTGTCTGTGGCCAGTGGGAATCCCGTGGAGGCGGAGTGTGGAATGAATGGTGGGTACCAGGGGCTGAGGAAGCGGGGAGGAGGGAGACAGGGAGGTTGATCTAGTTGCTGCGGTCCAGGTAGATGAGAGCAAGATGCTCTGGTGTGCCACTGCATGCAGGGCGACAACTGTGATGGACTGTGTATCTCAGAAAACTGGAAGGAAAGAATAATTTCACCAAGAAAAGTGGTAAATGAGGAAAGGGCTATGTTTAGCCTTTTAAACATTAATAGTGTATACCTGGATCAGAATACCACATGGTACCTCATTATTGTATGTAAAATTTCTCTATCTATCTATCTATCTATCTGTCTATCTGTCTATCTATCTATCTATCTATGAAGCATATCTAGCTCTGTCCAACTTGGTTGCCAAGTCCTGGCTTTTGCCAAGCCTCAGCATTTCTGATCACAACATGGAGCCAAAGAGATCTTTAACTTTCAGGGCCTTATAGTCCTAGTCAGAAGACATAGCAGGGAGCTTTCTGGAAGACCAGGCTGTCCTTTCTCCTCCCAACGGGGGCAGGTAATGCAGTGATAAGAGAATGGCCTCCAGAGACAGAGCCTTGAATTCAAGTCTTGGCCCTGGAACTATCTTTCTGGGCCTCAGTTTCCCAGTCTACAGCTGGAGGTACCCTGTAATGCTACCCTGCTCCTCTCTTATATGGAGGATTTCCTGGGTGACTCCTGTGTGGTAGGCCCTGAGCAGGTGCCTAGGGCACTGCTGTCAACAAAGCCCCCGTCCTCCCTGATTCTGGTGGAGAAGGCAGACAAGAGTAAGCAGCAGACTTTGGAGCGTGGTAGGGAGAAACGGTCCCCAGTCCACCCTGACCCTGGGTGGGAGGAATTTGGGCAAGTCCTTTCCAGATCTGGGAGTCAAGTTCCAGGTGAGGGAACCACTGCGGCAGAGATGCGGGGTCTGAGGACGCTCAAGGGCAGGGCGTGGAGGGAGTGGGTGACCCACAGAGGTCCAGGAAGGTGGCAGGAAGGGCATGTGCATGGTGGCCTGTGTGGCCCGGTGAGTGGTGGGAGGGAGGAGACAGGAGTCAAGGGCGACTCCAAGAGTTTCTACAGAACAACCGGGATGACGAGCAGGGCTGATGCGCTTAAAGGGTGCGGGCTGTCGCTGAGCTGCTGTTCTGCCGGTTCCCTGACCCTGCAATCTCCTCTCGGCTGCGTCCTTCTCCCAAGCCGGGTCTCTCCGCCACTCAGACCCTCTTTCTCCTTTGTCTGCCAGCTCCTGTTCACCTTACAGAATGCAGCTCGGAAAACGCTGCTTTGGGAAAGCCTGCCGCCTGGATCTCACTCCAGTCCGCTGCTTAAATAACAACTTTCTCCATTCTCAAAAGACTTTTTAAAAAAGCGATTATTAGGCATCAGTGCAAGTTCACTGACAGCGAGGAATGCCAACCTAACCGCATTCTTTCTACTCTCATAGAGAGACAGAGCTATCGACGTGGGAAACAAAACATTTTATGACTTCCAAGAACAGTGTTCAGGGGAGGAGAGGAAATAACGGGTGGATAAATAATTCTGTTGGTGGCTTCATGGCAGGTAGAGCAACCCAAAAACACAACAGCAATCTG